CCATGGAATGCGTCAGGATATAAGAAATACGATTATAAGTACATATCAATATTGCATCTTTCATTAACTGAGCTCTCTCTTCAAACACAAACGTTCTCTTTGTTGTGCATCTGTTCTGCTGAGGGATAACGCTTTCTGCAATGGATGGGATGTAGACAAAACCACCTTCGGGCTTTTTGAGACATGGTGGCAGGAATTCTGCTTTACATTGCACACACATCAAGATAAAACGTACCACAGCGAGTGTTAGTTGCAGAGAAAAACTATAACGGCGCTTTTTATTGCTACTTTTATGAAGAAGCTATATATCGTTATCCCCACGGTGCTGGTGAGGCGAGTAACGCTAAGGACGGTGGAATGAGTCACTAGTGGTCACAGGACAGGTCAGCAGCGGAGCTGTGATTAGATACCGCAATGAGGTCCCGGCTGCACTGGCATTTCCCACAGGCTTCAGCTGGGAAAAGAATTCCAAATGTAGCCTTGATACCTGCATCTCAGTGTAGACAGTGATTTAATTTGATACTATTACCATTTATTTATTAGGTAAGGAATCAGTCGTCTTATACTTTTAACATAGTCTAGACCGAACAGCTAGCTGGGACTAAAATAAAGAGGGATGCAAGGCACATGCTACCCATCATTCCTGGTTCAGCATTTCCACCACCATTTGTACCAGCAGTCACCAAGACCGACATTTCCCATTCTGTTTATCCCCCTCAAAGCCATCCTGTAGCACACATGGCACCGTGAGATCATCCATCCTCCCAGTCACACCATACGTGACTTCTGCAGTCCGTTCGGAGATGACCTGAGCTCTAGACTATCAAACGCGTCAGCATTTAGGAGGGAAAACCTTGTGTTTAGCAAGGAAACACCAGAATTTCTTTCAGTATCTTTTTCACCTGCACCGCGCTGTCTAGCGCTAGCGCTGCCTTTTACTCCTCGACACAACTTCATCAGGCCAGCACTGCATCCACGGCCCGTTTAGATCAATGGATCTAAATATATATTTGGGTGATATCCTTATCAATAGCACTCTGACTGCAGTGAGACGCTGTGTGACAGTTGTGTGACATCCAGATTTGTACGGTATGACTAATAGCTCAACAGAAGACGGCTCACATTTTTTTGTGCCTGTGCAGAGCACAGAAACACTTCAAAGGCTTCCTTGCTCTGGGAAGAGCCTATATAGTAGCGTTGCAAGCTGGAAATAATGAGAAGCACGTATCCTTGGCTGCACATCTGATGTGTATGAATTCTACTCCATGTAGTAGCTTCATTTCGAAAAGGAACGACACGAGCTGCTGAATACTATTAGAACAAGACCAAGAACACTCCTCCAGCTTAACAGTACCGTCAGCGCCTGCCAACATGCCGCAATATTAATACTCCAAGATTTCTCTGTCACGTGTTTAATACATTGAGAGTGGACCCACTCTACTGCCCACGAGATCACCAAAATATAGCAAGTCCCATGTGGTTAGCAGTCACTGCACCTTAACCAGATTTAGCAACAAAGTTCAGGGAATTTCAAGGGGATTTAGATACTGACACCCAATGAAATTACGTGAAACTAAGACTTCGGGTATAATTTTTTTCTAAGACAAATAGGAGACCGAGTTCTATTTGCACATTGTAAGGATGGAGATTCATCCACCGTTACAATTAGATGAGTAGAAAACTCTGAATGCCATATACCCCGTGGAATTTACCTGCTCACGGCAATACTGCTGCCCAGGCAGCATCCGCAGGGATGGCCGCTGCGGTCCAGCGTTCAGAGATGAACGAAGCGAGGACCCGAAGAACGGGGACTTGTCCTGGTACCTCACCCCGCTGTTCGGCCAGCCAGCACGGACATCCCAACGTACGCCGCCATTCTCACGCCCGTATCCTTATGGGAATGTTTCTACTGTGACTCCTTTCTCCTACAGCTTCCCATCAGGTGATGCCAGAAAAACATGGAAAATGTGTGTGCATGCCCAGTCATGTTACTATACTTAGCATCAGGAGCAATGGTTCTTTTAAGAGCTCTAACTGCAGCCCGTAGCAGCACACGGTTCACTATCACGCATTATCAGACTTCTTCAGAGATTATTTTTTGCCTTTAGCTAATGATGTAATTAGAGCTGCGTTCCAACAAGTATCCCATTGCCACAGACTGAAACGCTCGGTGTGCTTTTGAGGGGAACTAAAGCAGCAGAAGCAGTTTTACAGAGACCAGAGGTACAAACCGCTCTCCTCCAGTGCTGCTCCAGCCGGGAAGAGGGATTAGACTGGAAACTTGATTTGAAAAGGAACATTATGAACCCAAAAAACTCATTTCAATTTTTAAGAAAGTGTCCCAAAACTGATTTTTTATCTTCCATCGCTCTTCCTTCTCTTAAGATGTTTGAAGCATTACTTGAACTATTTTTATAAGAGAAAGAAAGTGGCACTGATACAAAAGTCCTTTAAAAATAGGAGAAAATGTAGAATGATGGAATGAGACAAGAAGATTTTACCTACTTGAAAGTCTTTTCTCTGTTCTTTTATCTCCCATTTAAAAGAAATGAAAAAAATATATATTTTAACAGTGCTATTCAGTAAAGTCCTCACTAAGAAGGGACCAAATTCTGTCTGTTCCTTGCGTGCCATTATTTTTGTTTCTTATTTCAGCTACATCAGATTTTTTGTCTTACTCGTCACATTACAGATATACAGAGTCAGAGGCAAGCTGGGTTTTCTTTCTCTTCTTGCATCATTACCGTTTTCCAACTGCCAGAGCAGGTCGGCTCGTCAACAGCCTCCCAAGAGAACCGATAGGGTCTGAAAGAGATTAACGATGCCGTTGCTGTATGACAGCAGAGGACGAGGCAGGTGAGCTGGGCAGGTTCTTCAGCTGAGCATAAATCAGCCTCGCAAAGAGGAGGAAAGATGGGATCTTGCATGAGGATGACAGGTACGCTGTCTACCACAGGTACCAGTCACAACAGTGAATAAGTAATTAAACAGGGTTAAGGATACACTAATAAGCACAGTACTAAAGCAGAGATGTTTGGATATGATGGTGTCATATATCAAACTGCATTGTTATCAAACACCGACTGTTAAAACGTGCTCCATCTTCAGTGCTATTGCTTCAGCACATGCACACACTCTTACGCTATCTTCCTTTTGCTGAACAGATGTGCATTTTATACCATTGCGTGGTTTTTAGTGTTAGTAGCCAGAAAGAATTCCCTTCAGCTTCAGGTTAAGCTTGCAGAGCTGGCACGTAGAAATTCTTTTCATTCCAAAATTCAGAAGATACAGTACAAAAGTCACTAAAACGGTGATCAACACAGGACAGTAGTGTCCGGTGTACAGACATGGCAAAATGTTAGTCTAAAATGCAAGCCATTTAAAATACCGGCTATGTTACATCCCTGCTGTGATAAATTGCCCTCTCTCTCTCTCTCACTTGACTTCAGAAGAACATTCTCAGGTAGCAGGCCTGATTCAGCCTTCAAAATCCTTCTCTTAGTTACGAATATCTCATGGTGAATTTAATCAAACACAAATAGCACAAGCAGGCTTCGAAAGAACTATAATAAGAAGGTGACTGGTTTTCCAAGAAGGAGCAGGAAGGTCTGCGCCAGGAGCTGGGAACAACCCGATAATACAATGGGCAGATGACAAGATGACGTTCCAGTCTTTCCAGAAACGATGACTCAGACAAGAAAACAGAAGGGCACACCACAGGTTGGAGTTGTTTCAGATGGGTGACGGCACAGTCATCGCAAAGGGCACTCACTGAGCTGGCCGTCAGGCGACCAAAGTGGTGCTCCCGACTCCGACACTGCCCTCCTGCGTGACCTTGGGCAAGTCACTTCAACAGTAACTGGAACAGTAAGAACCGGAACAGTGAGAACCAGAACAGTATGCACTATTTTTTTTTTTTTTTTACTCAGATGTTTAGATTTTTGAAACCATTGACAAAGAAAAACACACCTTAAAGCCCCTTAGGAACCTATCTGTTATTACTTTATAACAGCTGCGCAGCACAGTGATCTCACAGCTGTTTTATGAGGAATCCAGAAAAAGGAACAAACAACTTTTTCTATTAAAGCATCCTGTGAAATAACATCGTACATTTGTTAAACTTCAAGGTGGAACTATCCAGGTGTGAATTGTATACGATGGTACCATACTGACACAGAAAATTGGTGTTATACTTGTTACTGAGGAAACCCATGTGGCACTGGATGAACTAGAACTTGCTTTGGAGAGAACAATATTCTACCTAAACAGAGAGTTTAGGTACAAGGACTGTTCTGTAGAAAATTTAATACCAAATACTGTCCACGCTTTTGCTTAAACTCCAGTAAAGCTTCCAAGTGTTTGTTAGCCTCCATTAAAATTTGCCTCGCAAAACCAGATCAACACACATAAAGCAAAAACGGAGGGGAAAAGACTACGCTGGGTGCAGGGCAGGATTGGAAAAAAAAAAAAACCCGCTATTTGTGGGCAAATAAATCCTAGATGCGCTTCACCAGAAGAGGTTTGAGTGATGCTGGCACCTTTTTACTGAAACGCCTCACAATCATGTCACGTTTTTACCATCACAATATACTGAGCTAAGGAACATCCCGAGTTACAGAAAAGGGTGGCAGAGGACAGAGGATTTAGGCTGTCCCTGTCCCCTGAAGCACAAGGCCAGCACCTTCACCCATGGATATGACACATATGGGGTACATGCTGGCTACCGGCGCGCCTCAAAACCCCGCTACACCAGCCACAGCTCCCAGCAGCAAGGAAGGTCTCCCCAGCTGGGTGGACTCCAGTGACCACCTCATCCCCCCACTACCAGATAATCTGCAAGTGCCATGGTGTAATTCACACCTGCAGATGTCGGCTCAGGGCCATCCTACAACAGCAGTTCACTGGAGAGGAGGGGAAAAAAAATAACAAAAAGAAGAAAAATCAAACTGTTCTGTTGAAAATAATTCACTCTCGCTGTCGTATGCCATTTGATTTTCTAGGCTACCCTTGAGATATAAGGATGCCGAACTGGGGAGGTGGAGCCAAATGCGGCGCCTGCGAAAAGACGGTGTACCACGCCGAGGAAATCCAGTGCAACGGAAGGAGTTTTCACAAGACGTGCTTCCTCTGCAGTAAGCTGGGCTACGCTGTTTTAACTTCCCAGTATTCCCATAGCTCTGTATAAATCTTCCATTAAAGCCAGTAAATCTACTTTTCTATTACTTTGCATGCAATAAAGCAGCTTGATAGTTTCCCCATTTCAACATGTTTGCTCACAGAACACCGAGAGGGGACTTTTCGACACCCTGAGCAACGTACAGGACAGTACAAGCAATCAGCACCAGACTGAATTTCACACAGGGAAAGTTTTGTAAAGCTCATGCCTCTTACTTCTGGGAAAGCTCCAAGCAGAGGGCAGTCGCATGTTTATCACCCTACCCAGAGTACACCACAGTGAGACCGATTCTGCTCCAGCACTCTCTAGAGACCTAAAGATGAAACCCGTTTCCCATCCTTTTAGTAACTGAAGGATGGAAAATGATCGAATCTGTCTTCAGGAGCATCAAACAGTTTTCTGAAATGCCAGTTTGCCGCTCCATAGCAGCTCTTAATAACCAAGCCCCGGTTTCTAGCTCTTTACCCCGAGCAATCTGCCTCTCCGGCTTTTCTTCTTCCAAACAGGCATCGGATGATTATTGTAAGGGACACTAGAGTGCTGCAGAATCACAGTATCTAGGTCCATCTCCAAGAAACCCTACCTTCTGTCCCACAACACAGCATATTACACGTTTGTTTCAAGCTAAAAATTCTAGAACTAAACAAGCAGCACTCATAAAACAGAATTATGTCTTACTAGGATATTGTAGGAGATGATTATTTTTATGGTGAATCCTAACGTTAATTCATTTCAGACAGGAAAGCTGAAAGAGATTACCCTGGTGTCATCAAAATCTCCCACCAACACCCACAAGTGCCTCAGTCTCCTCCTTCCCCGTATTTCCTAGAGCCCCGTTTCACTTACTCTTCTACTCCACGCACCTCTGTCACGTTTGGCAGACAGCTTCCAGGAATTGTGCTTTCTCTGCAGATGAGCTAGAACTTGAAAAAATCATAGAGAAGGTGTCAGTTCAGCTCTGTTTGCTCTTTGTGGGGAGAGTAAACAATTTGATAAGGTCTAAAGATAGCTAAATAGTTTACTTTGCAGACAATGCCTGAAATTCAGTACCTCTGAATTCCAGCACGACAGCTCAGAAGCCATTGAATTCAGTTTTTCACCCTCCTTTCCTGGATGAATATAGAATTCTTGTTTGGAGGCATGAGACTGATATTACATGCTTAGATGACAGAGTACAGCGCTATGCAGAATCAGTCCAAAGGACACACTTGAGTCGTCTTTGCCTTTCCCCGAGTGCCCTGAAAGCGATGCCTAAAAGACCGAGTCAGAAAGAATCCCCTCAAAAAGTTTTCCGTTAATTGACAGCCTTCAGCCAGTTCTCACAGAAAGGTAAAAATCTCAGTTTTGTGAAAACTAGAGACTTCTCATTGCTTCCATGTGCTGCCTGTAACAATTAATAAGAGATATCAGAGAAACTATAGGGAGAAGGACACGAATGTGGTAATTATGAGAAAAGCTTTAACTGACATTCGTGCTTTATCAAGTGCTAGAAAATGATACAGCAGTAGACGACAAATGAGTAGACTCTCCAGTGTCTAATAAAAATAAACAGCTGTCCTAATAGGGCACAGTTAATAATATTTCTTCCCCACCTAATACTGGAACAGGTTTAAGCTTCATTCCTGGAATAACTGATTTCCCTTTTAGTGGTTCGTGATAACCAACACACACGTCCATTAGCTCTGCCAACTCTTTGGTTTGTTGTGGTTTGGGTTTGGTTTGGATGGTTTTGGTTGGTCGGTTGGTTTGTTGGGGTTTGTTATTTTATTTTACTTGCCCCTTGTAGTCATAAGTCTGAACTAAATTATTAATAGGTTGGATACTAAAAAAAGTATTCCTGGCAGAGGTATGTTTAAGGTCAAAAACTAAAGATGCATCTAAGCCCAGCTGGCATACGAGAGGTATGTTAATTGGCTTTACTTTTCCCATGATTCACACACACTAATCAGCAGCTCGGGACGACTCAGTATCATGTATCATGTTCACGGGCTTTTCAATGAACCAATTATAGGATTTCATTTCTCAACAGAAGAATCCTCCCTGGCCTAATCTCAGGTATGGAAACAATTAACCTATTTAGCTGAGATTTTATACATTGTTCTAATAAATATTTAAAACATATTTAATATTTTACAATATATTTGACCGGACACACAAAACACACCGGTATTTTTCAACCAAACAGTTCAATTTGGGCAAAATTATAAGCAAACCGACCTGTTAACACAGTAAGAATCAGACAAACTAAACTACCAATCACACTCTCTCCACTCCATAGCTTTTTTCCCCCCCCTACAAACAATACAAGAGAGAAACTCCTTTCCAAAAAACCCTCTTTCCCGCGCAGATCGCCGTTTACTTACCGTGTTTCCCTGTCAGCTTTTACCTAAACCGCAGCTGTGACGGACATTTGGCAGGACCCTCACGCCATCAACCTGAAACTTCTCCGTGCCGGCTCGTGAACAGTATCTGCGGGCAGATGACAGGTCTCACAGTTATTTCAACAATAGCCCTTCAAGGGCTTTTGCTCCATCTGTCGTGGTGAATTGATACCCTACCCCCAAGGTGCCAGAAATAGAAACACTTTATCTGCTGCCAGAGTTTCCATCAGCCCTTAACTCCCTTCGCAAACATAATTATCACCTCAGAAGCAGAAGAGACTGTAGCACAGCCAGATCAGGTTCACGCATTTACAGAAGCCCCTCGTTTTATTTCTGTTAACTATAAAGGGCCTTGCAAATTATCTTCCCCTCCAGGCAGTATAGTGACAGAACTAAAGCTGCAGCGGTCCCTCTATCAGCTTAAATTCTCTGATGTGGATGGATTTTTGGCTCACAGCAGGACAATTAAAATAAACATGGAGGGAAATAAGGACTGATCCAACCCTCAGCTCGCTCTCCTACAGCCTTGGCTTCCAACCACTTTCAATACTTGTGTATTTCAGACATTTCTGTTGCCTACATGAGCTAAGCAACTTGGTTTTCCAAGCTACCAACAGCCCCCGGATGACCGGAATGCCCTCTGTGGGGCACACACTTGTTCAACGGATATTGGAGAGAAGGGTTTTCTCCATTTTCTTGTTTTCCTCTCTACCAACCACTGTTGACGCAGCGTACAATTTATAAGAAGCACCGAAACTTTAAGCATGCTACAGAACCCTGATTTTTTTTTTTTTTTTCCCTATGGGCACTCCAGACTCCCTCCTCTCTCGAGGGGTTGGGGGGCTGTCTCACACCGAGCTCCCCAAACACTGCAGCACACACACTCACCAAGAAGATGAGGAATACAGCTACTAATTTTTTTTTTTTTTTCCCCCCTGTTCATTATTGTCCAATTCCCATGCATAAGCAGCAAGGAGAGCCACGGGAGCGGTAACAGAATTCAGCCTCTGAACACTGACCAGGTTTCAGATAAGCAGAGAATTAGGGGGAGAGGAATCCGGCTTCCACGGCCATTCGATGGGAATAACCGTGTGTAAGAACCGCCTCAGCACCACCCATTAGCTCTAGGTGTGGCTTGTGTTTCCCAAAACATGGATACGTACAAGACTAGGAGAAGGCTTCTGGTTTTGGAACAGCTATAGTCCTACCCTCGCCATGCTGGAGGAAGCCTAGCAGAGTAGAGACTACCAGTTATTTGGGATCATTGCCTCACCCTGCACTGAGCTCAAACAAACGTGACTAGATAAATAAAAAGCACATCCTGCTCGACTCTGTCTCGATAACGCATGTACGTTTGATCCTCTTTTAGAAACTCACCCCATTAAAATAGCGTGGGCTGCGGTGAGAAAGCCACCACAGACTCCGAGTGACTGTCTTGAAAAGTACAGATGCACAGAAGAATCCACACTAGTGCAACCTCCGTTTTTTTTCTTTTTTATTTTTTCTTTTTTGAAGGTTTGGGAGTTTAGGATGATGACCTCAAATCCATCTTAAGCTTCACAGATCTAGACAAACGGTCTCGACAAGCCCATGATTTTCCTAGGGTTAGAGTGAAACTTCAGTGGCAACAGAAGAGCATGTTGCGTGGACACACAACTACTTTAGCAACAACCCAGTGAAGTTTTATACTGCTACAGGCTAACACCCTCCTTTTCATATATTTTTCAAGATAAACAAAAAAACCCACTAATTACAATCATGCCGAACCACATACATTCAAATTTGAAGATGCCAATGTTTACACACACCTCTCTCTCCCTGTTTCCAGTGGCTTGCAGGAAAGCTCTGGACAGTACCACAGTGGCAGCTCACGAATCGGAGATCTACTGCAAAACTTGTTACGGGAGAAAATACGGTCCCAAAGGTATCGGCTTCGGCCAAGGAGCAGGATGCCTCAGCACTGACACCGGTGACCATCTGGGCTTGAACCTGCAACAGTGAGTTAAATCCCGCCGACAGCACCTTTTTCTGGTACTACTCGTCACTTAGCAGGGTATTCTAGATATTTTATTCTGTTTCCATAACAACATCTCGTGTAAGTAGCACAGCAGACTTTCCTACAACCTTTCCTTCAGTGGACACACTGATTTACTGGTTTTTAATGACGTTCGGTCTCTTTAAGCCTTCTTTATAAATTATCTCCTCCTTCAACAGGCAATTATTCTGCAGACGCAGCCTTTATACGCCACCACGGACATAAATATTCACCGCAATTGTAATTTGCCATTAGTAGCACATTGGTAAAGTCACATTCACCATAGAACATGAGATTTTATTCTTTTTTTCCTGTCAGAGGCTAAAATACAGTTAGGTTTTACTGTTAAGAGAAATAATCACACTACCACATACTGTTAATTCCTCTCAATGGGGGAAATAACATTTCTAAATCCTCCCTGTGGCTCGAATAACACTTACAAACACACCGAGAATGTTTGAACAAAGGAATTCTAATGGGATACCATCTTCCAAAAGCCTCAGCTGCACATAATTATCTCTGACAGCACATTTTTGTAGTATTTTTCCATGATTCTCAAAGCTGCACATTTCCAAATCAATGATGCTTTCTTCTGGTATTACTATAAGGAAACCAATTAACCAATATGCTGTGCGGGAAATAAAAGCTTAAATAATGTATTTAACTGTAGCTCCTTGTAAGATATGAATCCATTACGGGCAGAGTTCTGTACCAGAAACCCTCACGTCCTGTAGATTTAATGACCTGTTGCAGTCCAACGATCCGATAATTCAAAAGTCGTTCTGCGAAAGGCTTTAAGCTCACACAAAGACAGAAAGCACAAAGTCCAGAAATACAAAGCAAAGCTCCTTTTCTGATGTGCTTTTGACCCTCGGCCAGCTAAGAACCCCAGTTCCCTGTCCCAACGCTACAGTGACTAATGAACCAACTGCATGCAAAATCTCATTTTTATTTTCCCCTCGCCGAATACCAGCAGATAGCCAGTTACCGAGAACAGAGAGGTCTTTCGCCTGTATTTTCCCCTCGTGCTTCTCAATGAAACAAAATTATTTTTTGACTTTCACTTCTCATTAAATATAATCTTTTCAGCACATGGCTGTTGTCAGCTCCACGTCCTCAGTTCCAAACAGGTAACATCAGTCCTTACAGTATCAGCTTTTCAATCAGACAACACAGAATTCAAAAGAATACTTTCATTTTCTCTTTTCCCCCCTTTTGCATGTCTAAGACCAGTAAGGTAGTATTTTTTATCCCTTACCAAAAAATCATGAAACCGTATTTCTAGAACGAAGACATTTTAAGCAGTATATTATAACACTGAAAACTTCTGTTTTAGGGGGTCACCAAAGTCTGCTCGCCCTTCTACACCAACTAATCCTTCTAAGTTTGCCAAAATGATGGTAGATGTGGATAAATGTCCCCGTTGTGGCAAATCAGTGTATGCTGCAGAGAAGATCATGGGAGGAGGAAAAGTAAGTAGTTACGACAGCACTAGAAACCAAACACACTCACACAATGGCGATAAACTACAGCAAATAGCTCCTTGATCTTTTAAATTTTTGCTCAGAGTCTTGATGAAGAAAACATGGGGACAATCTAGCAAATTGTGAGAGAGGAGAATGTACTTTCATGTTTAAAGCCGTGTGCTTTTTGCAAGCCGCCTTCAACTTTCTGCATCTTGCTGATACCTGAACAACAACTCCTGGCTACCGCACAGGCTGACTCTTCTACTGCTGTCATTCTATGACCATCTCTGGGGATATTTATAATTTAAACATTTATTTGTAGTGGCAATTGCAGATATATTAAAAAGATCCCTGACCAGAAAACCAAAAGCTCATCACACACCACATGCTAGCACTCTGCTCTAGGAATCCTCACTCAAATATTATTTCTGCACATCAAAGTGGCTGAAACAAGAGTAATATCTGTAGCTCCCTGCTTTTTACTAGACATCTGTTAATAACAAAGGCACTAGGTGAGATACTGACATGGGATAACAAAGTAATTGAAAAAAAGACTAACCTAGAATGAGTAAAATTAGAGACCAACAAAGCAATTTTAACCTTTTCACACCTTAAAGAGCAATAGTTCTTTGTTCCTCGTATCTGCTAGCTGTGCACTTTCTGTAACATACGATGAATTATCTTAATTTCCTCAGCCTTGGCATAAGACGTGCTTCCGCTGTGCCATTTGTGGAAAGAGTTTAGAATCTACGAATGTTACAGACAAAGACGGAGAGCTCTACTGTAAAGGTAAGAATTGTCATGAGCTGAACAGGGTTACTGAGTCAATCTCAAGGGACCCTATTTAGACCCAGTATTGCCATCATCATTTACCTTGTAGCATGCTGAACAACTTCATAAAATTTCATTTTATCTTTTTTAACAACTTCCTGAAAGCAAAGGAAAGAGCTACGGTAACATTGCAGTTGCATCTTCTACTATTAACATTAAAATTTTAAAGTTGTAATTTTTCTACAAATACGACACCTTCTCAGATCCGTCCTCAGACCTTCTAACAGGCACACTGGCTGTTATGTGCTGGGCAGACTCTTGTACCTGCATTATCTCTCTCACTCAAAAAAACCCCAAACCAAAACAAAAAAAAAACCCACCCCAAACCACAAAGACCCAGATCTTCAACAGTCATCTGTTTAATGTCACGGTCCTAATTAGACTTCTTCTCAGTAAGAGCTAAGAGATACTTCCACTATATTGGTAGCACAGAAGACAACACATTCATACTAAGTTATACATCCAGATGTTCTCAGATCAAGAAAATTCAAAGACTTCACTTGACTCTTAGAAATAGCTTAAAGGTGAAAATCTGCAGAGTTTTTCCATCCTAGGCTAAACTTCGCAGAGAATCCTAAAGAATACTACTCAAGTTCGGTGACCTTGGGTGCAGTCTGACAACTGCAAGTGCTCAAATCAGCGTATTTGGAGAAATATGCTGACCGCTACTACTTCCTTAGCAGAGTTGCGATAAATAACTATGCACACACTGAGCAACAGAGAGTTAGAATGGAATGGTTTAAAATACCGTCAATAGTTTCTGGATTATACTCTAGTTCTTTTCAACTCCTTTGAAAATCTCTGACTTACTACTCAGTCTGTATTACTCACTCACACAGACCAAGTTTTACTGAGTATTTTTAGACAGGAAAGTAGTTTTCATGATAACATTGCTTAGATCTTAAATACATAGTTTCCTAATTTTTTCTTGGAGATGATCAAATGCAACTTGTTTAATTTAAATACGTGATTCCAGTGTCACTATTAAAACCCATAGACATTTCTGGGAAAGACACTATTTCACATTTCCTTTGTTTTATTAACTTAAATTCAGTAGTAGTGCTAAAACCACAAGTCGTTTACCTCTATATGAAAACATTCAGAATACCATTTCCCTCCCTCCTTCTTTTGCAGTTTGCTATGCAAAAAATTTCGGTCCCAAAGGAATTGGGTTTGGTGGCTTCACTCAAGTGGAAAAGAAAGAGTGCGAATAAGAAGAAATGGATGCAATAGACTCAAACCGCTGTTGATGCCACCAAGTGATAGTTGTCAAGTAAAACACTAAACGTCACACATTGCTAAGAACCTAGGGCATTTGTTTATTATTCTCCACTTGCAGGAAAAGCTGGTGAGCTTCTACCTTGAGAAATTCTTAGAATAGCTTAAAAAGGTACAGCGATAAAACAAGATTCATGTTTGTTTTACAGTAAATAAAGAGAAAAAAAAACTCATGGAACATTATTCGTGGAACGTAATTGCTTCTTAAGCTCTTATTTACGACACTTGAGTCTGGAATTGTCAAGACTCAGCATTACCGCCCCATTAAGATAGAGACATCTTACGGAGTGCAAGGGTCGGTGTTCTAACTTAGGCCGTAATTTCCTTCATTCAGAATAAGCGGCTCAACACTTCTTTACGAAGTTATCAGCAGGTGTTTTCCTTGTTTTGACCTTTTGTGTTACGGCAAAGTAGATGTTATTCACTTTGAGACAAGGAAGAAGTATTTTAAATTCTTTCTTTCAAAGGCAGATATTTCTGAAGAAAACCAACATTTTCGTAGAATAGTATTGTAAGTTTTGTTATTGTATGTTTTCAAGCTACAATAAAGTACTGATATTGCTTCACATTATTTTTACTTGAGTTTGCTTGTGCTTTTATGTTCTACAACGTTGCAGATAAATGCATTTCACTGAGATGAATGAAATCCCCTATTTCTTAACTACAAGAATTGTGCTTTATTATCCAACTTTACTCTTATGTTGTGAGTTCTAGATGGTATGTAATTTTCTGATCTTGATCTGTTTTCCTACTGGCTTTCTTTATCACCTGCTTTGACTTATAGTCAAAAACCACACTGCCCAGCCGGCCGCTCCAGACTGATGTTGTAGCCTTCTCTTGGGAACATGGGTGACATCTCGCTATTAAAGATTTATGCAGGCAGCTGGGAATAATTCCCTCTTTTTATATACATTGCTACTTTCCATCATCAACTTAGCCATTTTCATCCACTAACGGGGCATATGTACGTGCAAAACACACGGCAAAGAGTCAGGCTTTTTCTTACAGTTTTGTGCCTACCTGTTCTTAAATACCTCACTGGTCACATACCCCTTGAATCCACATCAGTCTGTAAAAATACGCTTAGAAGCATCAAAGTTCTATTTTATTAGATGTAAACCCTCCAAATACAAAGACTTAATAGAGGTTTTCACAACATAAGCAATAAGATTACACGGTAATTGTAATACCACATTTTTCACTATGAACTTTTCCCTTAATTTTCAAACGTAATTTTCTTTTATTATCTGCAAAATAAAGCAAAGGGTACCAACATGGTTTTGAAATTCTGCCCTAAAAACTTACCTTTAAAAATATGTTGTTATTGTCATCTCATCACATAAAATTTCAAATAGTTTCAGCTCAAACTATATACACGGAGACATAGTGATTGTTCCATATACAAACCTGCTGCAGCTTATGCAAGATAGGTTTAATATTTGAAGCAATAATAAAAATAAAACAAAGCAACTTCAGAAGAACTTGTAAAAATTAACAAAATATCCAGTTTTATTTAGCTTCCAGCTCAACGGTTTTAGAAATTAAGCAACACTTCATACAGAATGAACATTTTTCTCCTTTGCCTGATGAAAAAGGTTGTATTGCTTGGTCCAGTCAACTACATTGGGTTTGAACATACCAAAGCAACTGCACTGAAAAAAGTCCGCAAGATTCTGGAAGCATCCAAGACTGAAAATGAGAGAAATATCCATTAACAAACCTAGCAAAAGAAAATTGCAGGCGTCAAAAATACACATTCACCATGAGACAGTACTTCAGATATAAAGCTGTCAATGAAGACAGCTCAGAGAGAAGAAACATAGCAACAGTTCTCTACTGAGCACTATTCCTTTGTTGAATTTTTACAAACTGTATTACATTTAAGAGTGAGAGCAGATTAAGATCAACTCAAATATTTCACAGTCAGTGCTTATTAAGATCTCATCTGCTAACACACATGAGGAAACACAGACTTCTAGCGCGACAAGGAAACTTTGGTACTAATTTCTCTATTGAGCTAAATACTACAAGAGAAATCAGAAAAGGTCCAGTTCATACCTTAATTCTCTTTCTGAACCTACAGAACAGACACAGAGATTGATGAACAAATTAAAGGACAACACCCCCTCACCCCTAAACCAGCATCTACTGATTACAGCTATGGACTGATTTTGGCACATCTTTTTCCTATACACACAGCAATGCAGAAAGGACCCCTGTAGCTCTTACTCTGGCTGTTTATTTCCAAGGGCAAAGGAAGTTCTCAGCAAGGAAAACGAGGCCTATTTCCTCCTCTTAGTACAACTCATCACAGGCATGACTAGCATATCCACAGAACACAAATTTTTTGCATTTATGAAGTAGCGAAGCAAATCCGTACTCAAAAGATACGGGCTTAATACACACTATTCATTAATACTCACTTGTATGGAGTTCTCCTGAGTGAAACAGGATGCTTAGATTTTCTCTGTATCAGGAGGTTCATTCTCTCATGCGAGGTCAATCCCAAGAATACAATCTTAAAGAAAGGAAAAAGTAAGTAATGGTTAAAACACAAACATCATGAATTAAATTCTGGCGATATTGAGAAGGGATGGGGGGAAAGAGTTGGCCATATCCAACAAATAAGTAACCACTGCCATAATTAATGACTGATAAGTATGTTTTTAAATGTCACTTGGACTAAAATGGAACCCAGCAAGCTGTAACACTAATGCTTCCACTGAAAAGGTAAGTTTAATTAGGAGAGCTGTAATGACTGTACTTTTATAGATGTCTGTAGAAGTGTAAATTCTACAGCAGTTAAATACCTATCTCCTCAGATTTTGTTTATATGCTACCGCATAAATTGCTAGAAAAAGATCCCCCCGAAAAGACAAAGTAGCCTAGCAATAAAGATGAAGTAGATGCCAGAGACTCAAAAATAACTTCTTCATTTTCTTGATGCCATGTCTTCTTTCACTGAGTTTCACAGTGAGATTTATGGGCTTTTACTTCATTTTTGCTTTCCTATTCCTTTTCCCATTTTCTCACTTTTTGTTTTAATCAACGGAAATCTTATCAACCCTTACAAACAGCTACAAGGTTGCTTCACTGAATGACCATTAAATATCATCAAGGACTACGTTTACAAATGACTTTGTACGAAACACAGTAGTTAACTACTAAGTTTCCCAGGATGATATCTCAGTGTCTTGGACAGTACAGAAATCTAGCAGCACGCATGTAAAATTGTGCATTTTTTTTTAAACAAGATGTAAAAAAAGTCTTTAGCTCAGTATGCTGAACACACGTTCAGATGACACATCTTTCCTAAAAGCTACTAAACAAGCTGTTTCCTAGATGTTTTAAGACAGCTCTTCTCAATCCTGTTTGCATAGCCAAGCTCTCTCTGAGAAAAACATAAACAAGAAAGCTGACAGCTCTCAACAGGATAAAATCCAGGACATATATTTTTATTGCCGCAATCGGATTTAATACAGTCTAATGACACACTGCTGAGCTCTGCCATAGAATTTTCAAGTCAGGACTAAGCGCGCTATTGAGCGTTTGGGCTATTTTTGGGGCAGTAATACCAGTTCTATTAGTCAAATAAGTTTCTTGCCTTTAAAGACATCTTTTCATAGGTTTGGACTTTTTGATGAGTAGTAAACCCAGAAGTCAGTTACAGCAATGATTTGCAGACTGTGATCCTACTTTTAACATGGCAATGCTGAGAGCACAAGTACCCATGAAACTTAAAGGACTGCCTTGAGATTTAAGAAAAACACCTAGATGTGACAGTGCAGAAAAAGCAGGCACAAAGTTTTTATGGGAAATAAAAAAGGAAAAGTTTTAATATGATTAAAGAGAGGAGCATAAACCAAAGCAAAATAATACCTGATATAGTTGAACAATTAGCCCCAACGAAGCCCAGACAGCATGAAAACAGGCGACTGCGAAGACGTAGGAAACCCAGGGAGAACAATATACTATCTGTGTGAAGTACGTCCATGCTCCATCTTGATGATAACTTGTTGCGCAATGGTTTGACCAATCTGACAAGATGCATAATCAGTTAATTACGTTTTTAATATAGGCCACTTAAGAACTGAACAAAGATTATTTGTATAGAATGAATATTATATTGCAATACGCTCTAGAAATACCACGTTCAACACGTCATGTTCCCACTTAAAAGCACGCACATAGATATGTGTCTGCTTGCTATTCTGGCTGCATAATCTTGACATTATGCGTTCATAATCCAAAGTAGGAATATTCAAGGCACTGGCTAGGTACTTGGTTTTGGTGGTTTTTGTTTGGTTGGTTTTTTGTTTTGGTTTGGGGTTTTTTTTAAGTTAACTAGTGATACTGAAATAAGCCATCATCTCTCATTGTCAAGACTTCTGAAATTTTGCTTCATGCTTATTTGTAATTTTAGGACAAGAATTTTTCATTTATCTGTAACAGCATCGTCAACAAAAGACATTTTGGTGAAAAGGCCAAGAAAGCAGTATTTTACCACTATTATATAGATGTAAACTGGAATATGCAACTTCTGTATATTTCTTAAGAGATACTTAAAACCTACCACATTTTTAACCTATTAAAAAACCCGAACAACTAAAAGCAGAGCAACAATTTTTTTTCCTCTATGTCAGTAGAGCAATGAAGAGGTTTTCCTCCTTCACACACAAGAAATGGAGAAAATAATATGCTTTTTGCATACACTGAAACACAGAAAAGCAACTCACGTTCACATTAATGTCCTGTGTCCTCCACTGCCTTCGCTGGTTCACTCCACTTTATATTGAAATGAGTCAATATTCAACGTAATGTGAAGTAATATAAAATAAAATGAACTCCCTCTATTTTTTATTTAAAAGGTTAGTGCTATGTTAATTCATCCTCAGGACATACATTATAAGGGCTCTCCTCCAAGAAATGTCTTAATTTTCCAAGCTAACAGTTTGGATTTATTAATGATACACAGTTGTCCTCTTTTCTAAGTTATCTCTACATTAAAAACAAGAAGAAACTTTTGCAAGTATTCAATATAGATATTTCCAAATAACAAAATCAATAAAGCCTTTGCAATAATGTATTTACAAACTTATTTTCTATTGCAGTAAAGGGTATCCAGACTAGAACTTGTAACCTGACCTTCTTCTACATGGCTTCCCTATTTCACCTCTAACAAAAACTTTCTGATATTGTATTTTCCAGTGGACATCCCACTAGAGCTGTATCTTAGTTCCTACTCAACACAAGCATAATCAGTTATTTGACCAAAGACTCAGATGTGATGTATTTTCATTTAAAGACAGAATTACAGGATAACAATTGCTGAAATATGGTATCATTTGCACAGGTGTAATTACACTTGCTGGAAATGAAATGCTGAAAAATAAAGACCCTACACATGCACCCTTGAAAGCTAAATTAAAATTAATTAATGTATACATACACAGAAGAGTTCCATAAACCAGCCAGACACTGGTCATAGTTAGCAAAGACAGGAACAATAGGTAGTAACGATGGTTCCCAATGCCTGTATTTGAAACAAGGGAAAAAAAGGGTCAATATTTTAAAATTTAGCAGTATTTTATTTCCCCTCAAGTTAGTAAGAACAACAAAAAAAAAGAGAATCAAAACCACTTCTTATTATTACCTCTGCTATACTCAAGCAGGTTTGACAAGGCTGATCTCTTTCTCAACTTTCTCCTGTTAGCCACCCCGATTTATGTAATAGAATTAAGTTCTGATAAAGTCAACCCGGATTTGTCTCTCCTTCAGAGCATGCCTTCAGCTGTTTTAGCTAGATGAGGACTAATTATACAACCACTACTCTCCCTATGCACACTACAATTGTCTCATGTAACTGAAAAATCTAAGTTATTCAATTTAATTGTTTGACCTTTATGTGCTTCAGAATTGCAAACATACGCATAAAAAAAACCCCAGACTTCTGTCAGAGGAACTATTACATGAAGATATACAATTATTTTTTCTTTAAATTACAATCAGCACTGCTCAAAGCTTTGAAACAATGCATCGGAAGGATGTTTCACCACTTAAATAACAAATACCGTAAAAACATTTCCAAGTATTTAACATTACAAAAAAGCCATTGGCAAAAGAATATGCCAAAAATATATTGCTACAGATGTAAAGCTCTAACCTTTCTATCTTGAGCATCACCAGTAATGAGACAGAAAGGAAGAAAGAGGGAGGTTCTCAAAGAACACAAGAACATAAAAAATGCCCAACAGGGTTATCTCAGTGGTCCCACTGCTCCAGCATGCTGTCTCTAACAGCGACATTAGTTCATGAGGACAAACGAGCCTGGCTGCTTTCTGTAGTTCATTCTCCTCATCCACAGCTACTGCATTAAAATGTCAGAGTGCGCACACTTGTCCAGTTCTTTTAGTATTTACTTTTGGGAACACTGTCCAAAAGTTTGTCTAATGCCTTTCTGAACCTTCTGATACTGCCTGTATCTGCAAACCCTTACAGCAGCAAGCTCCAAAATTTCACTACCTGTCACGTAAAGACATTTTTTCTTTACCACTTTTAAATCCAATTGCTATTGTCACTGAGTTTCCCCTACGTTCTAGTACGATGGGCTTGGCAAGTAACAGTTCTGTATTCACTTTGGCCACTACTGTCATTGTTTCCCCCCCCCCCCCCCCCCCCCTCCCTTTTTTTTTTTCCTTAAAGTCTCAGCCATATTCCCTGGTTGTCCTTCTCTCAAGAGAGTCCCAGGCCTTTCCGTCTCTACTCCTAGGGTGACCGCTCCACCCCTTTAACCGTTTTAGTGACCTTTCTCTCTGCCATCTAATTTCTGGCACCTATCAGTAACCCCTTCAGTATCACCTGTGTATTCTTATATCAGGTGTGCTCCCTCTCTAAGGAGTTATTTCTGCAACTTCTAAAATATGTGGTATTTTCCAATTTGATAAAACAAACACACTCACCTATGCACTGTCCAATCCACAGAGAATGCTGATCATATCTGGCTACACATGAATTACAAGCAAGGCAATGCATAGATCTCAAAGGCTTCCTTACCTAGTTGAGGACAAAAGAAAAGAATACAGTCATAGCAAAAGCATCTATTTTGCTCAAAGTTTAGAGCCTCATCTCATGGGCACCACTACGTTTTGTACAATTACCGTATAACAAATCCCCCATCACAGAACATAGATGAGAACAAAAAAAAAAAAAAAGAAGAGATGGAAATAATAATTATTATGCTATTTTATTAAGATTAGAGTTCAAGGATCTCAAAGCATCTCTACTGTCACAGTAAAAGAAAAAACAGAAATCTAAGTAATATAGAATAAACTCTGCATATAACACTTGCATGACAAGCAATAAGCTATTTACAGCAGTATTGAATAAAAGCCAGGTTAAAAAAGAAAACAAATACCAAAGCCTCACTTACAAGACATGATGTGCAAAACGTTCTGAAGTCCAAGCAGCCTGCTTCTGCAAGAGCTACGATGTTCTGAAAGACAAAGTAGTTTGTGCGTGCATTTGGATCACATTTTCAGGGGCATCTATGAAAATTTTTACATTAGGCTTTTTGCAGTTCATAAGCATTTTGACTGCCAAGCACCACTATGAATAAGTACATGCTTTTTAAAATGGTCCAGGAGAAACACAACAGACTAATGCAACTTCACTCATGCAGGATTATTCAGAAAAGTATCTCTACGTTGCCAAAATTAATAAATAACGTGAATTAAATATACTTAGAAACAAGATGGTTTTAAGATACCAGGTACAGCCACACTTCAGAGAGATGAGGAGAGCTGCTATATTTACTGTTCCTTTCTGAGTACTAGCTAGACGACATTTACTAGTCCTGTGGCAATAAGTTAAAATTGCAGTTTATTCTCCCCAGCAACCTGAAGAAATTCAACCTCATGGAGAGCAAAGAGGTCACAAACAAAATGCTTTCCTTAATCCACAGGCTGGGGACACCAAATCCTAAATTCGCTACTGACTGGTTGGCTGTGATTTCTTTTTGCCATTCTAAAACAGAGCTAGGAAATAGCATGTGATTTTGCTTAAGCGCAAAAATCAAACCATTATACACATCCTCAAAGCATCTGATAAAATTTAAACCATTTCTAGCCTTCGATATGTTTTAGGAGTATGGAGAATTGTAGGAAAACATGGTGACTATCTCTTTCTAACCTTATACAATTGGACTGGAAACCACACAAAATTAATATTTATTAAGTGAAGGTCTATGTGAATTTACACCACAGATAACACCAGTGGTGCATGTCTGTACAACGTTTGGCCAAAGCCCACATTTCAATGAGAAGGTGGAGGCAAGGAAATCATGGCAGGATGATGAAGATAAGGAAACAAGTAGCAGTAGGAGAAATTATCTATGATCTATGTTGTTCAAGGACAGAGCTAAACACTCAAAACAAAAAAAAAAGAAGAGTATTTCACTGCTCTCAACTTTAATAAAGCTACACATGACAACAAACAAATTAACCTAAAGTATGTATGTGTTGCACCAGGTTAGCCCTTCCATTTGTTTCACCTACCTCTTTTCTTTCTTTTTCTGAAGTCTTAATATATCCAGGATCAGTTTTCCAAGTTTTATAGAAATAATAAAGAAACCCCACCACACTGAACATGACAGCGATTTCAAGAATTGTATTGGTTACATGTAATACTCTGGTTAAGGAATATATTCTTATATATATTTTCATACCACTGCTATTTGTCAGACAGAATACTCTAAAATTAGTTTATTCTATTTTACATGCAACACAAAAAGGAAAAGAATGACCTTCACTTTTATAGTAGGATCCTCTCTGTCCTTCAAAGGCCATCATTGTCAGAGAAGTTGAATGTTCTGTACAGTTTGAGCGTCAGAGAGAACACTACACAAGTGTATAAAACTGCCTCACAATATAGGTCCCTGTCTTCCTCACTAGCAGAGCGCAGACTTTTGCCTTTGAATATTTAACACACAGAAAATGAATTCAATTTTTTCCCCTCTTAAGTTTTTCTGTTTTAATTAAACAATACCAGTCCGATGTGCATAGTTATTAAGCTTCCAGCAGCTGTGAGATTTGTTTGACTGCGGCACACCCCCCTAAGTCACCAAACAGGCTCTTACTCAGCCTGTTTTCTAAGTCTTGCCCTCTCTTGTTTGTTTCAGCTAAAAAAACCTGAGTAAATTTACATAGGAAAACGCAAGTTCAGTCATCCTGGAACTAAAAAAAACCAAGCACACACTGCTAAACGCTTCTGAAGATGATGGGGCAGCTACTGGGAACCCATGATGATGAATGACAAATTTCTGGTCTAATTGGACATTTTTCTTCTTGCACACACTTTGCTTTTACCCAAGGGCTGACTATTTTAATGACTGCACGTGGCAGGAACTCATTTCTCATGAAGTCTCAGTGGACTTAAATTCAGTCCTTTTTACACACAGTAATTTTCTGCAACTTCTCTAGCAGACAAATTATTATTATTATGCACCAGGGTGGATATACAGTCACACTTGAGAGCTCAGGCTCCTTAAGAACAGTCCGTGATGCCACCAAGGAGCAGTCAGAGAGCCTGAGCCTGGATTCCACCTCCAGTGACCACTCAGCCACTATATAAACTGCCCAGTGTGAATAACTCTTAAAAATCGAGCGCTGCAACCTCAAGGTCATACGAACTAAACCCACTGCAAAGTAGCTCTAATTAAAAATCAAGATAATAAATTACGAAATATCAGTGCTGTCTATTAAAATTCTTATAGCTATTTGTTACAATGCAACTGCAGGGTGCACTTACGTAAGCCAAAATTATTTCTTCTGGACACTGCTGGTCTGTTTGCACTTCTATTGTTTTTGGGAGCTGAGAGTAGTCCTTAAGTGGAATGGGTGGACTTTCATTCATACATACACATAACTAGAATACTGAACACTTATAACACTCGGATCTGTGACCAGTTCCAGAAGAAAGAGACATTCATAAGAAGGAGAACTGGACAGTGAAATGGAAAATTATCCACTTGCCCATCTCACCAAGCTATGATTAGACGTTCAAGAATATCGCTACGCTCTGTATCTTCAGCAGTGTCCCACACAAACCCCTATCGTTGGAATTTCTTTTTCTTTTAATTAAATGACACCAAGAAAACCTTAAGACTACACAACACAACACAGAGTAACACGATTTTCATTTAGACAAGCGTATGCGTGTATCCCCAGTGGGAATATACTTGATCAGTTCATCAAAGTTAATCCTGATAATTCTATTAAGAACATCTTAATTGGGAACAGTACAAAAGAAAATGCCACTTAAAGGAGGAAGTAATTAAAAATTAATTAAAATGGTGTAGCAATATACTATAGCTGGTTTAGTAGAAAATTATTTACAGTTTTAAGTATCTCCCTACAGGCCTTTTCACAAAACTTAATCAATAAATAAATAGATGCCCACCCTGTAACCACAGAGCAGGGCACTGGCAAGCGAGTGTAAACGTCTTTGTAGTTATCGGTGCAAAGCTTCTTCAAAGAAAGTAAATGAAAGGTAGACATTAATGCCCTGTACGCTGAGGATGCAGCGTAACCTATGCATAAAGATAGCCAGGAGACTGGAAAATCTACAGAAGTGAAGAAATGTGTTCCCTGTTTTTGGGGGGTGGTGGGCAGGGTGTTGCTGTTGCTGTTTTTAAAAGCAGAAGCACAAATACCACTAACTGTCAAATCCTTGTCATTTCAGAAAGAAAAGATGTTTTTAAAATTATTATTAAAGCATGTGCATGTGTTATCTGGTTATACTGCATGCCAAAATACATTACTGTCTGAGAGTCTCAATGAAGAAGATTAAAGAGCCACATGGAGATAGTAACAGGGACAATTAGGTTTATAACAAAGATGTTTTCATTTTGATATTCCAGTAACATAAGAAATAGTTCAGAACCGTACACAAATATCTGCTAAAGATAAAAGACGGTCCAGACTTTTAGACTGTATGTAGCTTTAATTTAAATTCAAAGTTATTTCACCCCTGCCCAATGGACATAAACCAAACTTACCAGACCTTAACAGTCATGTGGAATTACCTGGGACTGCTGATTACTATTTCTATGACCAGGCTTGGATTTATTAGTAAGCGTCAAGAGAATTCTATTGCATTTCTTGAGTATAAAGGATATCAGGCAGGAACCAGAGAAACCAGGTCGCAGACATCCAAAAAACTGAACTTAGCAGAAATGCTGTGGGAAGATACCTTAGATTCTTGAGGCCCACAAATTGCCTGAAAGAATACCAAAAGAATTTTTTTTTAAAAAATGTATTTAAAATCTAACAAATAACAGTTACCTGCTTTGTTATTTTAAAAACTTCACACGCAGAATATACTTCAAGTCTCTCTTAAAGCACTCAAAAGCATTATTTAGCCAGATGCATAGGGGGTAAACAATGCAAAAATAAAACACGAGTGCTCTGTTCCCCCCTAATACTATAGATCAGAAATACAGTAGCACTAGGTGAAAAGCACCATCTCTGCCTGCTTGCACACTGATAGCACTGCCATTTCAAGGAACACTGACTGTTGCAGTAACTGCTGAAGCAAGCAGGAAACCTGCGAAACAGCTTAGGATAACACTGGGAGGTCTGGGGAGCAGAGGGGGAGGGAACGGTTCATTAAAACTCATTCTGTGTCACAAATGCAGAAGGAAAAGTCGAGATAAAGCACATATCCAGCACTGTGAATGGATAACTCTGTGTCTACCAGGTGCAGTCCTTCAATAACACTCTTTATCATTAAAATTAGCTTACAGACTGTTTAAACAGTTCAGTGGTTTGTTGTTTTTTTTTTTCTCAAATCTTTCAGTGATGAGAAACTATTATTTTACACACCTAAAGACATTCAATTTCTATGGTCACTCTAAAAAGTACATACATATTTCACATACTCTCCAACCATTTCTCAGGAGGTATTTTTTATGCTAAGTGAAACTAAACTCTGAAAACTATACTGCATTAGATACCTTATATGACGTCTATAACAAATAAATACATGTACACAGAGAAAAAGCCACAAACCTCACAAATAGAGCCATCCCAAAGAGCAGGAAGAGAAGTAGACCTCCTTTCAAAAGCCAAGAATCAGAACTTAAGTTCATTACGTATCCTACGGCCCACATCAATGTCAAGGAAGATGCCAACAGCAGGAAGAGCTATTAAAATGGTTATTGTTAAAACATGACAAAGTATCCAAGCAGGACTTAGTTCAAAAGTATTTAGATAATGTAATAACAAATGCTGAAAGACTCAAGGTAGGTAAGACAAAGTGACACATGAACACACCAAAGGGGGGCGTTGAGGGGAAGACACAAACCCCCCCACCCAAACCACTGCTACATGCTTTTAAAGAATTTTATTTTAGTGTACCCAATTTCAGAAACCTCTGAAGATCCTCCTCAGAAAAGAGTTAAATTGCATATTATGCTAAACAAGGAAAGCTGTAGCTTAATTTCCATTAGTTATTACTCATCAAATTACCTCATACTTCTCTACTATTTTCAGTAACCTGTTATTTCTTCTGCTTCTCATTCTTTCTTCCTCTTTTACCATATAAACCATGAAGCGATTCAGACTTTGATAAGCAAGGTCCAGTGGTGTCTCTCCCTTTAACAACAGAAATTTTTATTTCTTTATGCACTTAACACACAAATGCTTTCATTTTTAAGAGAAGCAAGAAATAAATACAGCTAAAACAAGAATACCTTGGCAGTTACTTCCCCCCATCCTTTTTTTTTTTTTTAATGGCAGGGATAAGCAAAATTCATAGTTTTAACATGCTTAAACCAGTGCTTTGTAGTTCTAAAAACTGATCCTTGCAACCAGACTGCATCCATTTGAGTTACTTGTTGGACTACCTTGAATAACCTGAAACCCTAAAGTGTCAGTAAGCATGTAATATTACAGCAGAAAGGCGAGGTTTCTTCTCTACGTTAACTTTTTTAAACCAAACAGCAGTATCCTAAGAGTCATATATATGAAAAAAAAGAAGTGGCAGATGGAAAAGCTGCGCGGCTTAATGCGCAAACCCTGAACAACTATACTGTACAAACATATCTATACAGTCATCGGAATCGAAAGCTTATACTTCTCACAAACAGTTTTTACAAATATTAGGATGAAGAATTTCATAAGTGACGACCCCTTTTGAATGGACGAACAGGCATTGTCAAACACTGGTTTTCACAGGATGACATACACATAGAATCATAGAATGGTTTGGGTTGGAAGGGACCGTTGAAGATCACGTAGCCCACCCTCCCCTGCAATAAGCAGGGACATACTCAACTAAATTAGGTTTCTCAAAGCCCTCTCCAACCTGACCTTGGCTGTTTCCAGAGGTGGGGCATCTTTTTAAAGTCCTTAAGAGTCTCACTGGACACAAAACCATCGTTATTTTTATAAGTCTGGCCAAAGTCATTACTCCTCATGACAACGTTTTGAGGCAGAAAACAGCCAACTTAAAGAGAAAAAAAAAAAAAGAAAAAAAGAAAAAAGGGAGGGTCTGCAAAAGACACAACTATGTTCAGAGTGACTGAAAGGACTGGCTGTTCGTTAAATTAAGATTGCAAAGAATCTCCGTATTCATAATTTGTGTGACACCACAAGAAAGGTGCTAACTCCTTTTGGGAAAGGCTAAGAACACCTTTCCAAACCCCATTCCAAAGCTTATCCAAAGGAGAGAGGACTCTGATTTTAATTTGCATTCATGTTACACATTCATACTACGTGGAATGAAGTATCACGAAATAAATTGTACCTTGACATTTTTTATATCCAGGCTAGCACCAGCTTCCAGCAACAGATCCACTGCACTTGTATTGCCTGACGTTATTGCCCAATGCAGTGCAGTATTCTTTTGAACATTGTCTACAGCATTGAGAGAGGGGTTAAACTTTAAGAGAAACCTCGTGGGTTCTGGTCTAGATGAAAATAAAGTATGAAAGTTAACAAACAGAAGATAATCTATACTGGAGACGAAATTTTTGAACACCTTATAAAAAAACCCACTGTTCCCATCTGTGAAATAACTGCAGATACACAATGCCTTGTCTCAGAACAAGCTCATCACTGATAGATCCAAATTTCTAATTCAGGACCTGCCCTGAAGGTTGTTCTCCCGACTATTTTATCTTCCAATTTTAACAAATATGAGGTATATACATAGATTTTATCTTTCTACAACATATAAGCTTACACCTCCACATTTTATTTAGTCTAAACGCATTTTAATGTATCCACTTCCATGTATTTTAATTTCTGGGAAAGCACAATAACTCTGCAGCCAGTTCAGCCGCAAACCTAAACTTCTTCAAGAAATTCTTTTGACTTTCTTTGCTATATCCAATTCACTACTTCATAACTCCTGATCTCTGAAATACTGCATATTTTAATACAACTAAAAGGGAAAGGAACGTCAGTTTAACAAAAAGTTTTCATAAGAAAAATTTCACCTCACTGCTTCCTGGGTACAATAAAATAGTTTCTTTTTAAGTCATTCACTACTTACCCAATCACTTTTTGTGCTGACAACATTAAAGGTGTTTGTCCATTGAAGTCTGTTGTGTCTATGTTCTAAGTGTAAGAAAAAGATAATAACCAAGTGATTACCGGTGGTTTCAGGAAACAGAGAGTTGGTCAGATTCAGAGGAATACAACAGGCTTAGCTTCACTGTAGTAGTGGAAAGAAACCAAATTGTACCAGCCAAGAAGCAAACACTCATTTTAAAAATTTTTTCCCCTCTGCGAGTCTTGCACGTCACTCCTTTCAGAATATACTGAGTCTCCACTGAAGATATTTTTAAAGGAGAGTCTCCACTAAGGATATTTTTAAGGGAACCATGTTAACCATAATCTTGTCCTCTTCACACACAGAATCACAGAATTTTCAGAGTTGGAAGGGACCTCTGGAGATCATCCAGCCCAACTCCCCTGCTGAAGCAGGATTGCCCAGAGCACATTACTCCGGACTGCATCCAGGCGGGTTTTGAAAATCTCCAGAGAAGGGGACTCCACCCCCTCCCTGGGCAGCCTGTGCCACTGCTCTGTCACCCCAACTGTAAAGAAGTTTTTCCGTGTGGTGGAATGGAACTTGTGATGTTCCAACTTGCACCCATTGCCCCTTGTCCTGTCACTGGGAACCACTGAGAAGAGTCTGGCCCATCCTCCTTCAAACCCACCCTCTTTTGTGCAAAAATATTGTAAATAAAGTGTACATAAAACTGGTTTATTAAAACAACAAAAAAAGAATTGCTTATGTATAGAGACACGTAATTATTTGAACACCTGACTTGTGTTACCTAATCTTTTTCCTTCTTCACAATGAAGGTTTCTTTCTTCCCTGTCTTCACCCATTGTTACATTAGAGCAGATATACTTAAATGTTTAATCACTTAGGTTTTTAGTAGAAGGTGGGTAGGATAAAAACTTTAAGTTTGTGATATATAACATCTATACCTACATTCCAGAAGTCAGTTACTCTACAGTCTAGAGCATATAAGAAATCTCCTCTCCTTTTTATTAGCAAATTGTTACGCTTGTCACTAATTCTGCTTAATTCAGACATAAGCTAACAGACATCAACTAGAGTGGATACAACATAAAATTACAGAAAATATAGAAGGTAGAAATTTCTAATAAAAAATGCAGACCTAGTCTGATCGTCTATTCTTCATGCTTCAGTTGATGGACAACTGGACAGATTATTAGTTACAAATTCGTAATCAAATAATAAGTACTTCATGATGTATATACTTCACATACTGCTTTTTGTTATCAGGTTGTTCTTTATACAGCACTGCAAATCTGCATAGCCTTAAAAACTCTCCTTAAACACTCTGAATCGTACAGGGATGACAAGAACAGGGCAGACTATTAAATATATATCTATATTTTAAAAAATAATCCAAGTTTCTCTGAACTTATGGCACGGGGAAATAGTCGTCAAATATGTGTTTATCATCTAGAAAACTAAACAGTGAATTCTGAAACTTATCATAGACACAGGCAGCTTCTCATAAGTAGAAAACAACACTTGGGACATCAACAACATACCTGGCCTTTTGCTATGAGGTAAGCTACGATGGGCATGTGCTGAAACAGCACTGCTAAATGAATGCTGCTGAATCCTTCGCCATCAATAAGACTGGGATCTGCTCCACATTTTAACAACAACATGACCATAGGAAGGTGTCCCTGTCTGTAACGACATACGGAATGAAACTATAGAGATGACAAAAAAGATGTACATTTTAATCAAAGTATGGCCTTAACAATTATCATAGATACCCACCCCAAAAAAATTTCCTTTCACATTCTGGTGTTTTTATTCAGGAAATTACTTTTTTACAATTAAAAGCCTGCTTCAGAAAATTATGTTAAATATATACCTTAATAAGGTAGTCTAACGCAAACTGTTAATTTAGAATACAATGGTTATTCTACAGTAACTTCTCCTGTGAGCAGTCATTCTCAGAAGTATCTAACTTTGTTTGGCAGAAGACTACAACAGCCCAGAAGAAAGAACTGATCTTTTAATGTGAGAATTTGCACTCAGATAAGTTAGACAAGAATAATTATTAAAGGTTATGTTTTTTTCCAGACAAGCAGTGCTCTGTTCTTTTAATCATTTTACTCAAGTCCTGTCCTAGAAGCCAAAGTTGTATGATTTTAAACTGTGTCAGGTGGAACAGATGTAGTCTAGAGCAGATGTAGATTTTGAAAGAACAGATCCAAAGAGGCATTAAAGATACACAAGCACAAGCAGCTACAGTCACCCAGGAAGAGAGACTACAGGTTTGTGGCGGCAGCTATAAGGAGCCCAAGAAGAAAACCTAATGCCGCTGGGGGCAGAAGGACAAAGACCTCTCTGCATGCCTCCGAACAACAAGATGTCTTACACTGGTCCGACTGCTACATGCTTGTGTTTTAAAGTCCAGGACTGGCAGCATTGAGTCTTACAAGAGCACACCAAAGGGACCTAGTGCAGAAGCGAAAACAACTGAAAGCACATTAGCTAGACAGGCTGAAGTCTGAGGGAACCGTGACAACTTTTTTGGAATAAAACTGTGCCCTAATAAGCATCAACAGCTAACTTCAGTGCCATCACACAGCCAAGTCGTCTTCGCTCAGCAAGGCAGAACTTCTGAGGCAGAGGCTGAGCAGTGCTGCTTCATCCCTAGGGAAACTTCAAAATGCGAGTCCAAGTGACTGAAACAGACACGCGCATGACACAATGTTGTGGCCTGCAAAGGTGCCAGGAATCAGAGAACAGATTTCAGCATTATTATGGACATGCTGTGAAATTTCTTGTACCTCAATAAAATAAACATAACGCGGAATTTGATTTAGGACAACTGCTGTTGTGCTACACAAGGTATAACTGTTAATACTACCAGATCTACAATTAGTAGTTGCCAGCGGCATACCTAATGGCCCAGTGAAGGGGAGTTGAATTCAAATCTCCACCTAGCTGATCCACTATTGCACCTTTGGAAATATAGTATCTGTATAACAAAAACACAGTAAGATTAAGAATAGACATAATAAAACATTAAAACATCATACTAAGGATAACATGGCTCTAGTAGTAAACAGCTCATAATAAAAAATAAATTCACTAGAGAAACAAATGGACCAGAGTATTTTCACAGTAAAGGATGCTGTCTTGAGAAAATGTTTAAGAAAAATATGTAGTAATTAGCAAGGCACTTATGGAATCAGCATTAATCTTTGTTAAACAAACCAAATCCAGGAAAAGCTAGTGATTTCATGTACTACATGATTTCACATATAAAGAAATCATGGTCACTTTACATTTCAATGACATTTTCACAAAGGTTTGGATTAAAATTTGGATTTTATGCTTTTCTTCTCAAGCAGCATGTTCCTTTGTTTTGAAGCATAATAGCAACAACGTGATTATAAATAATGATGACAGAATACTCCTGTTACTTTCATAAGGACTCTAGAGCTTACTTAACCAGCTCCTGTCTGTTGTTTATTGCCGCCCAGTGAAGAAGAGTCACATTTTCTTTGTCTGGTTGTCGAACATCATATCCTGCTTCTACCAGCTCTTTGCATCGCTCTACTAATCCATACCTTAAATGAGAAAAAAACATATCTATTTACTTATCATTCGTTAAGTATCCTCCAGTTTAGAAACAGCCACATACTAAAGAAAAAGTAAATCTCAGTAAGCATCACCCAGCAGTTCCTACTTAAGCAAATTCCACAATACATTCAATGGAAGTCTTACAAAAAGAGTTGGCCTGAGCCTTGATGAGTAGAATTTTCTACTTAACAAACCCAACCTGACTGAGATACTATTGTAAATATTTTTATCATAAACAAGGGTACCTCTATTCTTTCACTACTGTTGTGGTTTAACCCCAGCCAGCAGCTAGGACCATACAACTGCTCACTCACTCCCCCCAGTTGGGATGGAGGAGAGAATCAGAAGAGTAAAAGTGAGAAAAAACTCATCAGTTGAGATAAAGACAGCTGAATAAGTAGAACAAAAGCCGCACATGCAAGCAAAACAAAACAAAACAAGGAATTAATTCACTGCTTCCCATCAGCAGGCAGGTGTTCAGGCATCTCCAGGAAAGCAGGACTCCATCATGCATAATGGTTACTTGGGAGGACAAATGCCACAGCTCCAAATATCCCCCCGCCTGCCTTCCTTCTTCTTCCCCCAGCTTTATATACTGAGCATCACATCACATGGCATGGAACATCCCTTAGGTCAATTGGGATCAGTCCCAGCTGCGTCCTCTCCCAGCTTGTGGCCCCCCAGCCCGCTCACTGGCAGAGCGGTGAGGAGCAGAAAAGGCTTTGACTGCTTAGCAACAACTGAGAACACCAGTGTGCTATCAACAGTATTTCCCAGCCCAAATCCAAAGCAGAGCACTATACCAGCTGCTAGTAAGAAAGTTCACTCTATCCCAGCTGAAACCATGACAACAACAGGGAGAAAATGGAACTGTAAAATCTCCCTTTGTAAAATTATCCAGCCTGGCTCGGATCTGAGGACACTCCCATCTATTTCAACATTTTGCACACACAGAACACATGCTTACTGTGTAGCCTTGACAATATCACAGGTGCTGGGGTCTTCAACAATCGGATATGGTCCCGGTAGCATTGGTAGATCTTTATCCCCGTGGGCTGTATGACAGTTGTGCATGTGAGGTCGATGAGGCCCATGGCAATGGTTTTTACACTGTTGGTTAAGAAAACATCTATCAGCAAACATTATTTATACACTGTACACCACACCTCCCTCTTTACCAGACGCACACACTATACTTATCATAGAATCATAGAATGGTTTGGGTTGGAAGGGACCTTGAAGATCATCTGTTCCACCTGCCCTGCCCTGGGCAGGGACACCTCCCACCAGCCCAGGTTGCTCCAAGCCCCGTCCAACCTGGCCTTGAACACCTCCAGGGATGGGGCAGCCACAGCTTCTCGGGGCGACCTGCGCCACTGCCTCACCACCCTCACAGTGAAAAATTTCTTCCTAATATTTAATCTAGATCTACCTTCTTCCAGCTTGAAGCCATTCCCCCTCGTTCTGTGGCTACATGCCCTTGTAAAAAGTCCCTCCCCAACTCTCCTGGAGCCCCTATAGGGACTGGAAGGGGCTCTAAGGTCTCCCCGGAGCCTTCTCTTCTCCGGGCTGAACCCCCCCACCTCTCTCAGCCTGTCCTCCCAGCAGAGGGGCTCCAGCAGTGCACACTCACCCAGTTGCACTAATACAAATAAGGAGGTTAATTTAAAGCACAGTTAAAACCACCTGCCAAGAGACGGCAGGGAGGCCCGGGGTAGGGTTAGGGTCCCTCAGGCCGCATGACCCGGCAGAGCCGCCTCCGGACACAGCGCCCGGACCCGCGGCAAGGCCCCGCGCCCCTGAGGAACCCGGTGCGAGACGCTGGGAGAGGAACCC